TCAGGCCCTCACTCGATGAATCCGTGTGAAACGGTAGAGGGCTGGGTTCCATATGTAGAAACCTAGTTCACAGTATAGCCTCAGAGCCCGTGTTTCCCTGGCAGACTTTCTGCCATTTTCCAAGAGGGTTACAATCACCTCTAATCTTCCATATGCACCTAAACGGTTGTTCATATGTGTAAGTGCTTCCAAAACCTCCTTCGGGAAGGATGGGGCTTCCGCAACGTCCCGGTTCCAAGTAGAATGGGTACGTTTTCCCAGTGTTATCCAATCTCACTTAGTGGGTAGTGCTATGACAAACAGTGAACTGGTCTTCTTGTTGCAAGTCTCGGTTATGTATGCAACCCTCGTTACCTGAAGGAGGCAATGGAGACGTCACGTCTCGTCGCCACAGCTGCTGTACCACCGCTGAGCAGCTAGGTTACCGGCTCGGCTCCTCAGCGAAAACCTGAGTATGTGTTGCACCTGCTGCCTAATTACACTCGGCGGCAACTGGATGCAATCATCACATGCCAATGTGCACTGGCTCGTTTAGTTTACACTCTAAGTAGATTGGTCTCTCTAAGCGAGATCCCAATTCGTCGGTCACCGACGTGACGTCTCCGTTCCCTCCTTTAGGCGTTTCATCGTGAACATCTTGATGGATTTGTTTATCACAAACATGCAGCTTTTCGCTTCACAAAATGTCAGTTGATAGACTAGAGCCATGTGGAGTACCTGTGGATTATTGTGATGTTTTTATCAGTTTTTATGGACTCTCATTCTGACGGCACCCATTCACTGCAGAGGAACTATTGGTGAGCAAGTGATGTAATGCTACATTTCTTTAAATAACAAACTTATCAAGATGTTGGATGGACTGAGAGTGCGTACATTTTCAGCAAATTTTCATTTTTGGGTAAACTATTCCTTTAAACTGCATCAAGACAGAGATAAAGTGTCTTCCATATTTTGATGAAAGTGCATTAATTACCACTCATTTCATTGCATGTTAAATAAACTGCAAATTACATGTAGTTCGTTACTACTCAACAATGTCTCTAAAGTAGAACTGAAAAATCTAGGACAAACATGCTTGTGTTTTTAATCAGTCTTACTATTTTTATAATAAAAGCTCTGTTCTGCTTTGTAACACATACTTAGTCATTGCTATTTGCATTTGGTGTCTCTCTCTCTTTATGACCTTGTTTTCAGTCTGATTTAACATATACAGAGGTGCTGAACTCTGCATGGGGCTTTAGATCAAAAGTGTTAATGCATGAAGCCCAGTCATAAAACAGACCTATGAACCGATAACATAAACATTATGCATGAACTCTGGTATTCACTTATCAACATGTTTTAGTTCTGTCAAAAAAGCTCCTCTAACAGGCATAATTTTCTTCTGCATTTTAAGGTGAGGCTTTACTGTTGATATTTTTAGCATAATATTTTATTAGGTGCACATATAATAAGCTCATATTTCACATGATAACCCATTGCTTAATATATTAGTGCTGCTGTACACTACTTCCTATTGTAAATGCAAATATATGATATTGTAGCAGTGCATTTTAATTCATCCAATATACATCAAATCACTTTATTTATTTCTCCTGTGTGTTTTTCCATCTGCACATATATTATTTGTTTTTCTGCCCAGATTGGCATATGAAACCCAGGCACAGCCCAGATGCTTCACAACGGTTTGATGACTACCAACTCAATGACAGTGTGTTCCTGGTCCAACCAACCAATCAATATGTGTAGATCAGTGTAAGCTGTGAGTCCAGCAGCAAGTTGTGGGTCTTAATAGAAGGACAAGCTAGAGTCTACAGCTACTCTGAAATGTCTCTCAGTTTCCCCTAAATTATTTCATGCTGGTAGGAGGGATTGGATCTAGATGTGGTACTGAATGAAAGCGTCAAAGCCTTAAATTTGATGCAGGTAGCTACTAGTAACTCGTAGAGGTAAAATCAAAAGGGGTTTTATGTGCGAACCAGGATTTGACATCATTTGAATTTTTTTTCCTTTAACTGATTTTTTTTTTTCAGGATGCAAAATTGTAATTTACACTAAATCTAAAAAATAGAATGAACTCTTTCCTTGCCATCTTTTTTTTAAGTTACCAGCCACCACCAGCATTTTTTAAAAATCATTTTCACAAGAATTTCATGGTACCCAGAATATTTTGTTATATGAATATCTGCATATGCAGTATGTCAAAAGATAAAACAGTCTCTAAAAATCAGAGTCTCTGCTTTTAAACAAACAAACTAAAAATATTCTAGCTTCATGCATTCTTTTTTATCAACACTTGAATGTGTGCGTTTCATAAAAAAGCAACATTTTAAAACCAAAAAGCTGAGAAATTTGTCTAATCAGATTTGCATTGGATTGAAATGTCTGCTGTAATTGTAGCTATAAGCAAAACACACCTGAGCACCTCCCAAGATGAGTTGAGTTTAGTTAAAGTATGTTTATTACTTTAGATGTTTATTATTTTGATTAAAATAAAGTTTTGGCTGGAGCAAAGGGGTTCATCAGACAAGTGGGTTTAACCAGACAATTTTGTGTGAATGGTAAGAAATTACAAAAGAGACAGTAACTTCTATAAAATACATGAGGTGAGAAACAAAACAAAGATCAGAAAGAGAAAATGTGGTTTGGTCACAGTGAGATATGTGTGTATACCGAGAAGAGGAGCAGACCACGCACTGAACCCTGAGGCACCCCGGTGGTTAGCTGATGTGATTCAGACAATCTTACAAGAAACCTTGGCTGTACTCATGAGGCAGAACTCAAGGTAGCTCTAGTCCTCCTTCTACCCTACAGACCTGAAGTTGTCCATTTCTGATCATGACTGGCTTTTTTGAAAAGGTGTCATGCTTTTATACCTTTATAGTGATGCAAGAAAACAGGTTTCGTTTGAAAAATGAACAAATAGTAATGGTATGAAAACAGTGAATGCTAAATTGATTAAATGAAAATGGAGAATAGTTTACTTAATTGTACTTTAATTTGCTTAAATTAAATTAGTCAGAACAGTATGGATTTAGCCAATCTTCTGCCCTTCTTAAAATAGCTTGTGCATCTTTTTTAATTTCCATACATTTCTTTCATCTTCTGATACACATAATCTCATTTCCACTTTTGGAAGTCAAATATCTATCATTTGCCAAGCACTAAGTGAAAGCTTACTGCTGTTGTTGTTCACTGTGTCACAGTCACAGTGATTCAGTGGTTGTCTTATCAGTTCTTTGTTCCCAAGAGAATAATGTGAGTAATGTAACATTTAAATAGGCATAACTCAAATTACTTCCTAATTGTAACTGATCTGCTGGTCAGTCATAAGCTATTGATCGGCCCCTGCCACCATTATCCTGTCTTGAGCAATAGTAATTTGTGCTCAGATTTGCAGATCAGCCAAGCAGGGCAAACATGTTCTAATTTGTTAGGCCAATCTCATGGCACTCAGCATCCCTTTGGTATTCTAGGCGGATAAATAGAAAGAGCAGGGTGATAGATTTAATGCCATGGTGTTGATGATTAGTCATTACACTGCTGGTTAGAAGGGGTAAGTATTTAAGGGTCCTGTCAAAGTAGCATTTCACACTCTGCATACCCACATTTTTAGTATATTTGTCAAGCAGGCTAAGCAGACTATTACATCTAAATTTTCAGGCCAAGTACCACCTTTAATAAAATCGGAACTAAAATTTAATTTGTAGCTGTCCCATCATGTTTTTCCAGTAAGAGTTTTGTTCACAAAATTCAGAGGTGTACACAGGACCACCTGACTATTTGAGATGGAGCACAGTTTAAGAAGTGCTATGATAGGAGTTTCTGATAAAGCGTCAAATTTCTTTCCACTGTGGAAGTGGATTCTCATCCGTTGGGATGCATGACCCTAACAAGAACTGAATATAGCAGTAACATTCACAATAATGCCACAATTGGCTGCCCCTGAAAGCACACAGCATCACCTCTCATCACCTCAATGTCACGTGTCCACAAAGCCACTCAATGGATTTAGTTGTAAGACCAAGTTTTAGATGAATGATGCAGTGAGAAAATATATTTCATTGTTGTTTATGCCAGAAACAGGCACTAAGGAACATAAATGTGCAATTAGGAAGTAAACCCACAAATAAAGTACCACCCAACAAAGGCCAAGTACCTTTTTACTTAAAAAAGTAAAAAGTACTTTACGTTTTTAAGCATTAGTGATATAGATGCATTTTGATATTTTGATGTATGTGTGTGTGTGCATTAAATTGTTCAAATCTTACAGTAAAGACATTTTTAATACTACAAAAGATTTCAATTTCTTAGAAATTATTTTAAAGAACTCTTTTGAACTTTTTTATTCATCTTTTTTTTTTGGGACAAAACAAAGCAGCAACTATTTTCAGCTTTGATAATCCAAATCATTCTGATATGCTAATTTGATATTCAAGAAACATTTCTTAAGGATCATGTGACACTGAAGACTGGAGTAATGGCTGCTGAAAATTCAGTTTTGCCATCACAGGAATACATTGTAAATTATATTACAGATATTTTAAATTGTAATATTTCACAATGTTACATTTTTTTACTATATTTTTTATCAAATAATTACCTCGCCTTGGTAATTATTGCCTTGGTGAGTCAAAAAAAAATATTTAAAAAACATTAAAAGCCATTGCATATATAATAATTCAAATAATAATGTTATGTTATCATTTTTAAGCCAGTAGTGTTTTTACAAGTTCACTAGTTAATGACATACAGTATACATTCATATTTGTACATTTCTTGTAATATGTGGAGTTTTGTGAAACAATATCTATTGTGAAAAGCTCTACACAAGTAAAACTGACTTGACTACACATGCCTAATCAGGATCAATAGATCTAGTATTGCCACTACAGTGAAAAGCTGTAGCATTGTTTGGTTAAAACAGACTGAAAGCTTGCAGTGCATGATTTAACTGAACCTCTGATGCTAAATTGCCAATTCCCTCTTCTCTCTTTTAGCCGTTGAAGCTGCATTGCGAGGTTTGCAGTATAGTGTCCAGCTCTGGCCAGATGCTGGGGCGTGAGGCAGGAGCCGAAATCGACCAGTCCTCCTGCATCTGGAGAATGAACAACGCACCCACCCGTGGCTTTGAGAGGGACGTGGGCCGCAGGACAGACCTGAGAGTGGTGTCTCACACTAGTGTTCCTCTGCTAATTCAAAAACCCCAGCACTTCTTTGGCCAGGGGAATGAGACAGTCTATGTGGTGTGGGGACCCTTGCGCAACATGAGGCAGGATGGCAAGGGCATTGTGTACAATATGTTGCGGCAAGCGGTGGAAAACTACCCACATGCACGCATCTACGTCACCACAGAGGACCGCATGAATTACTGCGACACTGTTTTCAAGAAGGAAACGGGCAAAGACAGGTGAGAGTGCTGTAGCCACCGTCAACGTCACTGTTTAGATTTAATGGGGGGAGTCAAAAATGTCAGGATGACACATTATTATAATGTAATAAAGAAAAAATTAGTATAGTCATTATTAGTATAGTCAATTTTTTCTTTTTAAATTGATTGGCGGCGGAGCGAATGTTAATGAGTGAAAATTGTGCCACACACTGGTCTTAAGTCCCACGGAAGAGCTCCGGAAGGATGCTCTGTTCCAGAATCAAATCACTGGGGGTACTTCGTGAGGGTGATTTAGCCTTCATGCACAGCTATTTTGAAATATCATATTTTGTCCAGTCCATTGTTATGATTATCACTATGTCAGTCATTGCGATTTCAAGAGAGAATCCCCCATTTATATGCAGATGTCACTCCTGAAACTTTGCAGCAGGTTTACCATGTTGGTCCTCTTAGCAGCATGAAAAACAAAACTTTTATTCAAATTCTGAATCAAATTAAGAATCAAAGTCACTCATTTCAGTTCATTCCAATTCCATTATAATCAATGAACCTCTTTACACTGCACAATACATCTCTTATTTACATTGAGTCTACACTTTTTCATAATGAGTAGGGATGTAACAATGTTATCAATATCGCGATAGCAAAACCGTCTTGATATTATCGTGATCACATGACGATCTGAAATGATAGGTCTTCCGGGCAAAAAGTGTAGTTTTTAAAATATATTTGTTTTGTGCCATTATGCTTTGGCACAGTATCTGTCAAACGAACTAAAACCGAAAGCACAATATGGCTTAATCCTGTCATCACGTCTGTTTTTGCTGCATGTTTTAAAGCAAAGTGCACATATTTTTAGGCGATCAGCTTGTGATCCGGTGGTTTCTGCACCTCAGAACGGCTCCGTTCACTGTGAATGATTGCAGTGAACTCGTTTATTGCACGTGCTGTGAGGGAATGCAACAGCCACCAGTTATACTTTATTTTCGCGGCAGATGATTACAGTTTTTCACTAGATTTGTAGCGAGACGCGTTTTTGTAAGCCTGTTTTCACTGAAGCTGGAGTTTTCCTTCAAAATAAAAGCTCTACTGTCGTTTCCTTCAAAATAAAAGCTTAAAAGTGCAGTATGAATTGCAGTATGAATTGCTGACAGCTAGCGGTTTAAATGCAGTCCAAATTCAAAATATCTCATTCAAGTGTAGAAATTAGGAAAGAAGTATTGTAATTTCCCTACTGTAGTGTAAAACAAAAATAATACACCTATGAAATAATAATTTTCCTTACAATATATGGCTACTGCTGTCATTGTTGTTATTATTATTATTCTATTCTAATTTGTTTGGCTTCCTAAAACACCAGTGTCAAAGTAATTTAGACTGAGATAGTATATCACAAATACAAAAGAGGGTTGAGTCCCCTTTAAAGTTCAGGTATGAATAAATTCACTGACTTTTTTCTGACTTAAGTTTTCTTAGTTGAAAAAAAAGTGGGTTGGAGCTCTTAATTTTGAACTCTCATTCTAAAGTGCATTAGATAGAATAATTTAACTTTAAAATGTAAAATGTACACAATTTTCATCTTTTCCCAATTCTTCATTTGTCTTTTTTTTTCTTTTTAAATATCGCAATAAATATTGTATCGTGGACGTCATATCGCAATAATATCGTATCGTGAGATTTTGATATCGTTACATCCCTAATAATGAGTGGATTAGTTTTTTGAGTTGTGAGTGAATTCTGACTTACTGAAACACCTCTGATTGTCCATTGTGTTCAAGAAATGAACAGATATGTCTGTGATTGGCTACAATGTTCAACGCTGTAAAAACACGTCGTAAATAGAAACCTCTGATGCTGTCCAGAGCGCAAACACACTTGAGTCTGCTGTGAGGGGGCTGCTGCTTACTTTCATTTTGTTGTTTATGTTAATTTTGTTATTAAAGTTACATTTGCCCGATCCCACTTCCTTCTTCCCTGAGTCTTGAACTTTGTTACATACATATATACATTTTCCTTAAATCATCCTGGCGACCCTCAGGGTTTGAAAACCAATGTAGTAATCTGGCATCATTTTGTATCATAATTTCTTTTAAAAAATACCAAAAACTGCTTCAGTGTAAAACTTTTGTCCACTAAGTCAAGGGCATGTGGTGCATCTAACATGTGGAAACATGCAGAAAAAAAGGTTATTAAGTCTTATAAAATCTGATTTTGGTTCAATTGGACAAACATGTAATGATATTTATTAATAAAAGGTGACGTTGCTTATTAATATTTGAAAAACTTTTGTCCACTAAGTCAAGGTCATGTGGTGCAACAAACTTGCAGAAATGCAGGGGGGGAAAAGGAAATTATATTAATTAATACATCTATTAAAATCAGATTTATATGTTGGGTTATAAAATGTCATACTATATGGTGTAACTGCCCAAACAAGTAATTATATTTATTAAATAATAAAAGGTGATGGTCACATGGTAACAAAAATTCTGTTTTTAAATAGTTAAATAAATAGTCATTCATGAGTACTGGCTTAGCAGCCTTGTTTAAAACCTTTTTGTTTTTTAATTTTCAAATCTTGAAGGATTTATAGTCCTTACTGGCATACATGGATAAAATAATTGAGAAGTATTATGCACCAACATTAATCCTACACTGTAAAAAAAAAAACAATCAGTAAGAAAACGGATAATGTACTGGCAGAAAATTACCAGGACATTTTCTGTTAAATTTACGAACATTTCCTTCAACTTTAAAACTGAAAATTCTGTAGATTTACATTATCTTCTGTACCATAAATGGACAATCCGTTATGCAGAAATTTCTACAAAATTATAGCATAGGCCTATATTTAGTAGCAAATAAATTCAGCACGATATATACAAATTGAACATGGTTTATTTTACCTCATGTAAACATTCTTAAAAGTGCATTTAGTGACTTTTGTTTCCCTTAAACAGGTGAAGACAAAAATATTATGACATCAATTAATTTAACAATGTGTAAAGCACCATTAAAAATGCTTGTATTGTGGAACACGTTTTAGTTTTAAACAGCAACAGGCAGAAAAAAGAAAACATGAGCAGGAACTTATACAATACTGGTGTTGCACCAAATAGTGGTCATAGAGATACACTTCACTGTGAAACAGTCAAGATTCAAAACATTTTCACATGAGGAATGAGATTTGATCATATAATATTTTGGGTGAAATAACCCTTTAAGTTAGATTACTAACCTCTAATTCATGCTAAATTATCTGCATCTACAATTGACATGGTTCTGCAAAAATACTTTCTTGTACAGCATTTGAAAATATGGAACAAAGATTCATGCACTCATGCCTGACATTTCAGTGTGAAACTAGGTGAACTATACAGTCTGAATTAAGAGCAGGGCTTCAAGTGTTTGTGTGCTTTTAGTATCTCTTGCCATGTGCCAGTTTGAGGAAACTACTTTTTTTTCTGCATGTTCAGTCCAAGTTCCATGTTGAGATTTGAAAAAAGCTCAAATTGTACATGGCTTCTCAAAGTTATTCATACATGAGTCTTGGAAGCGTAACTTTGACCCTCGTTCAGGATTTCTTCACAGGAAGACTATAAATGACAAGAAATTAAATGAATGAAACTGAAATACAGAGTAACATGCAGAACAAGTTGAGATTGAATTATCAACTGCTATCCCAAATACTTTCCAGTTCAAACATTGTTTATAAAATGCTAAACTTACATTTCCAGTGGTCTCCAATTGCATCTGTCATGTGATCTTGTCAACAATGTTTTATGATATACTTAAAGTGATAGTTCACCCTAAAATGAAAATTCTGTCATTAATTACTCACCCTCATGACGTTCTAAATCCGTAAGACCTCCGTTCATCTTCAGAACACAAATTAAGATATTTCTGATGAAATCGGAGAGCTTTCTGACCCACGGCGAATTCATGTGGTGCTGCTGACGTAGACCCCGCATGCGCTGCACCTTGTTTACAGGTAAATGAACGCACACGCATGCATGGTGTTACTCTCGTTAATGGCAGCAGACTCTCCCAGGAGAGAAGAAATCATTGAATAAAGTTATTTTTGTTTTCTTTGCACACAAAAAGTATTCTCATAGCGTCATAAAATTACAGTTGAATCACTGATGTCACATGGACCATTTTAAAGATGTCCTTATATTACGTTTTTGTGCCCTGATGGTAGGACCCTTGCTGTCTATGGAGGGTCAGAAAGTTCTCGGATTTTATCAAAATATCTTAATTTGTGTTCTGAAGATGAACGAAGGTCTCACGGGTTTGGAACATGAGGGTGAGTAATTAATGACTCCTCTGGATGTTAAAATAAAATTAAGAGAATGTGTAGCTCAGCCACAACGGGGGAGGACATTTTTCAATTCAATTCAAGTTTATTTGTATAGCGCTTTTCACGATACAAATCGTCGCAAAGCAACTTTACAGCAAATTAAGTGTCTACAATATTTAGTGGTAGCTTATCAGTGGTGACTGTCAGTCAATGTACGTATGGCAGAAATGTACGGAAAAATCAATTAAAGACGTAATCAAACAGACGATGAACACTATTAACAGCAATTATTATATGATGCAATCAAACTTATAGCAAATGTGGTAGTTCTTCTGTAAGTTGTTTCAGGGTTGGCATCATCTGAGGTCCTCTGAGGGGTTGGCATCATCTCTAATAGAGTATTAGCAATGTAAGTGAGAGTAGCGGCAACCACGCTGGCGATGCTAACGGGCTATATGCCAATAGCGGACTCGGGAAATCAAAATAGAACTAGTTATAACAAGGCGCTCTGATTGTTTTTGTTGTAGAATACGATAGGGGATATATTCACACGTTATAGAAACGAAAATGATGGTGTATAAAATTTATTTTAAGATAAAAAATAGACAATAAAGAATTAACTTGACGGAGCTCAAACTCAAAACACACGGCAGCAACAAACAGTCTAAGACAACAAAATAATGTTGAATTATTTTAAGTTAAATGATAACTTCTTGAA